GACAGAACCTCAGTAAAATTGGCAAGAAACTCTCTATTCTTGAAATTAGTATTTATTTTTAACTCATAAGTATGCTTATATTTAGATCACAGAATGGAATCCTATTTGATACTACCTCTTTTTTCCATAATTAGATTTTATCATATAATGAACATTTACCTCCCAAACAATTTTCATATAAGACTTTTAAAAGAGCTAACATTTAAGACAGAGTTCAATAAAATCAGAAGTGACTGAATAAACACAAAACCATCCATGTTGTATGTTATGTATTAATTGAAAGTTAAAAGAAATAGCACTTGGAAAAATATCTACACTATTTTCCTCCATTGATGTCATAATGAAATTGCTGAAATGTGGAGTGGACTTATATTCTACTTTTAACCATTTCAAATAGCAGCACTACCTGGCAATACTTGGATAGGAGTTTTCATATTTGAAGGAAGTTGTCCTGTACATTATCTGTAAAATGGCAAAAATTTGTCAAATTCTTTATACTTCTTTTAGGTCTTGTACATTCTATTCTGTTTTACAACCCCATTTCCTCTGTAGAACTCTGGAAACAAGTAGAGACCCAGCACCTTATGTAACCACTTCCCCTACCTGAGTGTCTGAGGGAAGCTTTACAAGCCACTTTCTCCCCCACATAGGTATTCCTGTTACTTGGGAATGTCAAATCACAGAGTTCTCATTTCTTTCTATATAGATGATTGTGTAAATTGTGTGCCACTATTTAAATATTGTACCAGTATATTATTTTTAAAATTTAACTCAATTATTATACAGACCTGATGAGATACTAACATTCCAAGAGGCATCATGCTGCATGAGTAACTTCTACTGAAATTATATTTAAGTTCTGTGAGAAACTCTTACTCAGGTTAATATGCATTTTAAGCTCACATATTTGTCAAGATAAGGTAGTTCTATTGTATTTCTTTAATTTCTGGATAATTTGAGTTTTGTACTTCTAATCTTAAGAATTTATATTTATTATTCAGCTCCCTACTCTCCCATCTATCCATATATCTGCATTATTTACCACCATTACTGAATCTGCTCATATCTTTTTCCCCATATGCAGAATAGTAGTCTATTAGTGACTCAAATTTAGATGCTTTTAAGAATCCCCTACTACAGGGTTTTATTTGTTTTTATATTTATATATATTTAAAATATAGCTAGAGGTTTTCAATCAATTGGGTAGCATAGTATTAAGTCATCTGTAAATTCAAAAATTCTGTAGATTACGATCAATTCTTGGTCATGTCTGTGGAAGCCCAAAGTCAGTTGGAAATATGAAGGTCAGGTTTTCTCATTAGCTGTATCTTGATCATATGTCAATGTTTCCTTAATCTAAATTAAAATTTAAAAGTTAGTTCTTATTCATTTTTGTTTTCCTAGCAGTTCTTAAATATAGAAGAAATTAATTTCTTATTTTAATCAATTATTAAAACCCTAATCCCATATTTATAAGAAAAGTTTTGTCCACAAGGAATTTTACTAACAAATCATATATAAATAAATCAAAAGTGCTAATTTGTGATTAGGAAAGGATTTTTACTCTGCTCAGAGATCAAAATCAAGCATTTGTGATGTAACAATAACTGGAAAGAAAGACTGAGAAGGGGAAACAAAAAACCTTGAGTGGAATTGTTAACAGACTTTGCCCATTTGACATCAATTAGACAAGGAGCATTTAAAAAGTCCTATGTGGTTTTCTAAAATTAAATTTTCATGTAATTTCTTAGGTCCATACCAAAATGAGATTATCAGTAGTGTCAAAGTCCATCAGAGCTTTAAATTCTGAAAAGAAGAGGAGAATAATAAAGAATAAAGTTCATGTACCTATTTCTTTTCTCTGTTTTCTTCTTAAGCCTTCTCATTCAGGGACTGGATGGAGACACAGGGCTGACCCAGAGAGGTTGGGCTGGTAATGACTCAACTGCCCATCATTTGGACTCCAGCATTAACTTTTGTCCACTGAAGAAAGCTATTGTGAAGCTTTCTTTATTCAACTTTTGACCAATTGCTGTACATTTTCAAGGGAACGATTTTCAGTGCTTGTGGGATAAAAACACTACAGAAGGCAATGTTGATCTTTTTCACCTCCCATCAATTTGTTTTTCTTTAGAAGCTTTTCTTATCTTTTCTTCTGCTTCTACTTCCCAAACACTCAGTGTTCTATGCTTCCTTCCAGGTCCGGGTGCCTCACATTTGCTAAGTAATTAAAGTCCTTTCCTGTGTCTAAATAACCATTCTTTCTGTCTTCTTTGCTTTTAATCAAAAGATTATTTCTGAACTAGTATCAGGCAATTTCAGATCTGTTACCTAGTTAATTCATAATATAAAGCCAAAACTTAAAACGCTGAATGCTTTTTTTTTTTAGCAAAGAGTTAGACAAATAGATTTGTCATTGATGTAGTGCAAAGAATATATATATATATATATATATATATATATATATATATATATATATATATATATTTAATTACTTAGCAAAAAACTTTAAAAAAATATTAATAAATATGCAAATGAACTATATATAATATATATATATATATATATATATATATATATATATATATTCAAATAGTTTTTCACTTTACATGGACTATGCTCATCTATCCATGTCAATAGATATGGATTTACTCCATTTTAAATAACTATGTTTATTACCCTGTACAAAAATCAACTCAAAATGAATCAAAGATGGGAATTAGACCAGAAACTATGTAACACTTAGACAAAAACATTGGGTCAACACTCTAATACATAGGTGCAGGCAATGATGTTCTCAATAGGACCCTTAAAGTTCAGGAAATAATGCCAAGAGTTAATAAAAGGGAGGGCATCAAATTAAAAAGCTTCTACACAGCAAAGTGAACAATTAGGAATGTAAAGAGGGAGCCTATAGCATAAGAGAATGTTTTCTAGATACTCTCTGACAAAGGATTCATATCCACAATATGTAAAATAACTCAAAAAACTTAAAACCAAAAAATATTAATAAATACACAAATGAACTAAACAGACATTTCTCAAAAGAAATACAAATGAACAATGAACATATGAAAAAAATATTCAAAATTGTTAGAAAGTAAATAAATGCAAATCAAAACTATACTGAGATTTCATATCACTCCAGTTAGAACAGCAACCATCAAGAATACAAACAATAATAAATGCCAGAGACACGTATAGCTAAAGGAATATTTTACTGTGTTCGTGCAAATGTAAGAAAAACCATATGGAAATCAATATGAAGGTTCCTCAAAAAACTAGAAATGGAACCACCATATTACCCAGCTATACCTTCCTTGGTATTTATCCTAAACAATTAAAATCAGCATACTATAGCAGTACATGCATACCCATGTTGATAGAATCACAATTCATAAAACAAAACTAAGTGTCTTGCAATGGAGGAATGCATAAAGAAAATGTTGAGTGTGTGTGTGTGAAGTTTTATTGAGCCATAAAGAAAAATGAAATTATGTTATTTGCAGGAAAATGGATAGAATTTGATAACTTTATGTTTAGTGAAATAAGCCAAACTCAGAAATCCTAGGGTCATATGTTTTGTCTCATAGGGAAGCTAGAGAGGAAAAGGAAAAAAAAAGTTGGGGCAGGGGCAGAATCTAATGAAAATCAAAGGGAAATCAGTAGAGCACAGGAAAGGACTAGGGGAGGGAGAAGCGGACAGAAAGGAGAAACACATGGAAATAATATTGGCCAAATTTTATTGTTATTTTGTGTCCATGTACAAATATGTAACAATGAGTTGCACTATTATGTACAACTATAGTGCACCAATAAAATATGGAAAAAAACATATTATTATCACAAATATAAGATTAAATTTTCTATTACCCTCTTGATGTTGGTCATTATAATTATAATGATAATTATCATCATCACCATCTCAATAATAAATCACATTTATTGAATGGGTATGTCAGGAACTACCCAATGCTAAGGGCTTTATGTATATTAATTCAGTTGGTTATCATGTCATTTATCCCAGTAGGTAGATGACATTGAGAGCCTCATATTGCATATGAGGAAATTGAGACATAAAGAGAAAATAATTGGGGGCTACGGTTGGAACTCAGTGGTAGAGAGAGCACTTGCCTAGCATGTGGTGAGATGCTGGGTTCATTCCTCAGCTTTGCATATAAATAAATAAAAATAAATGTTCACAAACAACTAAATTTTTTTTAAAGGAGAAGATAATTGATGTGCCTAAGGCTATCTTTACAATAAGTGATAGAAACAAGCAGAAAGAATACCTTCCAGAGCCTGTACTGGAGAGGACCCAAGCAGTATTGGTTGTTTTCATTTTTTCCCCTTGGAAAATTTCACAAAAATATAGCAAAGTACACTTTATGTGCCAACATTTAAGATATATATATATATATACACACTTTTTTCTGAGTTCTTTATAAAATCTGGTGTGGTTTAAAGGTGGCAAATCCAGCATATAGAAGGAAAATATAAAATCATAGAATCTCTAGATTTGACAGTGCTTTAGGTAGAATCATCCACATGACATTTCAGTCAACCATGGGTCACATATCCATATACAACAGTGGTCCCATAAGATTATACTACCTATTGACATCATGGCCATCTTGATTCATATAATTATATTCTGTGATGTTTGCCTAATAATGACAAAAGCAGTTACCATTGCATTTCTCAGAACTATCCCTGTCATTAAGTGAATTGTGACTGAAATTTAGTAGAATTTCAGCGATTGTGTCAACTGGTCATGTTCTCACCTGCTCTCTGGAATTCCTAGAGTACTTGTTTAGTACCTTTTCATGCTATCACGTTTTTACATTATATCATGTTTGTCTACCTGTCTTATTTCCCACATTTGACTCATGGTACATGTTTTTATCCTGCAGCTAATTGTTTTATATACCAAAGACACTGATACTATTATGGCTGGATTGTTTCAGTATTTTAATTTTTAGCTTTTCTTTTTCAAACAGGAGCAAAATTTATTGGAACTTTCCCCATACCAGACACCTACAATCCAGATGATGATAAAATATATTTCTTCTTTCGTGAGTCATCACAAGAAAGCAGTACTTCTGATAAGACCATTCTTTCTCGAGTTGGAAGAGTTTGTAAGGCAAGATATATGCATTTGTTTTACTTAAGGCATATGTGCATATGTATAAAAAACCATGTAATGTTGAAATGAAACTTAATGCCCATTATTCATAACTCATAGGATAGATTTATACTGTTACATGTATGTGATTTTTGAGATCCAAAAGTTAAAAAGAAAAAGGATTTAGATTTTTCAAATATTACAGTTGAATTTTCAGTGCTAAAATGTCACCCTGATGTGAGTTACACCTCTTTGGCAGTTCAGTTCTTTTTTTTGAAGGGCTGTTCCAGTTATTGTAATTTGCAGTAAGAATGCTGCATTATCCAGACCCTTGAAAGTTAATATGTTATCAAACAATGTTAAATAATCTTATATTAAAATTAAAAGTAACAACATAATCACTAAAGTGCTTTAGACACTAACAATCATATTCTATATTTTTTTCAAAATACACATTGCATATGTAAAATGTTGTATCTTATGTGAATTGATTATATTTAGAATGTGCTTATATTTTTACTATAATAAATATTTTAAGTCAAGTTCTAAGAGAAAATGGAGTAAAGAAGAAAAAAAAAACCCAAATGAAAAACATTTATTTTGAAAATAAGTTAGAAAATTAAAATTGTCATTAGACTTAAATAGTGTCATTTTATGCAAATGTGAGACCCTAACATTTTGTGCCATCAAGGCTCTCATTTAATAGCACACAAGCCTTAGACAATAATTACATTTTTGGTTTCAGTAACTTTTTTCCTTGGATTTGCATCTAATAAGAAATAGCATCTCTTAAATAGACATCTTCAGCATAAACTTGGTTATTAAGGGCAAGAGATGTTAAATTAATAAATACTTTCAGTGGGAAACTTTCTTTGGTCTTATGCAAACTTTTCATTTTCTTCCATTTGAGCCTATCACTTTTTGTTTTAGTCTATACCATCAGGTTCTGAACACTTCCAGAGTTAGAAATACAAACTATCACTGAACGTAAAACTGTTCATGAAAACTCAGCTTTTGAATGAGGCCAACATGTGAGCCCAGATCATTCTTTGCCTAGAATCCTAGCCAATCATGCAGTCTCCCACTGATCCCCTTAACCTCCAGGGGACAGACTCTTGAAAAAGCATCCTCATTCTTTCAGAGTCTGAGTTCACAGTGATTTCTCTTGAAGCCTCGTGCCTAGGGATGAATGGCTGTTGTTCTGTAGACTTAGTGTGTTAGTGTACTGAAGCATGCCTTCTAACAACAGTATCCTGACCCTGAATAGCTATGATGTTGGTTGACATTGTCTGTATAAGTGAACTACGTTAGAGATATTTCAAGTCACTTTCTGATGAACATATATAAGAAGTTAGTGTGTTTGGGAGCCATTGAAACTCTTAATTCTTGACAGGTTTAATCATTTAATATAAATTCATTTATAACAAAGTAATATTTTTTTATCCTAATATAAACATAGTGAGTGTTGACCTTAAAGATGAAGAAATACCTTAAAATTTAATCGTTTCATTTTAAATTTCCATATTAGAAGTTTAACCTAGATCTCATCAACATAAGCATGGAATATTTTATTTAAATTATGAACAAATTTATACTGAACTGGAAAGGCACAGAAGATTGTAAATGAGTCTTTCTAACTCAAAAACCTCAGAGACCACACAGCAAGACTTTGTCATGCTATTGTCCTTAGTTAAAAGCTAACAAATTGTAAGATCAAATAAGGATGTGTGATGGATGAATTTACTTTAAGAAAAACAAAAGAGGTTCTTCACTCATTAGTTTATCTCTTCACTTAATCCTTCTTTTAAGTGAGTATCTTCAAAATTTCTCACTGACTAAACGATCCATTGGTCAAATGTTTATATTTGATTCTAAATGCTTTGTACAAAATTTCTTAATTATAGCAATCTTAGACATGTTTCTAAATTTTACTTAATGTTTCAGGATAAAATTGTGATGAAAATTGGAAACATCTAGGTGGAAATTTCTCTAAGAACATTAAGAATGACTTAAAATCTTTAAAAATATGATTATATGCCTTACAAAGCAATAACAAGTTTAGTAATGATTTTTAAAAACTCAGCATCACTGTTGGTATTATATAATAGTTTCATGTAAAAAGACTTTACTGAAATTATTTTCTCTTTCCATTTTTTTTCTTTTTCTTAACCCCCCAAATGACATTATAACATCATAACATTGGTTTTCCACATTTGATAAATAACATAATGCATATCTATATTATGAAACAAAATTTGATAACTATAAGAAAAAGTTTAAGAATGAAGAGAAAACTGTGTGTGATTTACTGAGTTTACCAAGATTTTTCAGTAACACAGAAGTACTTTGTACTGTTCCACCAGCATTTTCCCAAAGTATATATCTGAAAATATTCAGGTTTTATTTTTCCTGTTCCAGTTGCTTGGTTTCATTTTTAACTGAATACTTTGGCACAGTGCAAAACTGCTGACAATTTAAGAGTTCTCTGCCTCTTCAGCTTCTTTCTTTCTGTCTGTCTGTCTATCTATCTATCTTGATTTGTAAAAGATGTTTTTTTGTTTTTTTTGTTTTTTTTTTTTTGAGCTGCCCAACATATTACTATTGGGCCAAATAGGATATAGTGATTGGTGAAGTGGTCTTGGTGATAGGCAAATATCACACAAAAAATGACGAGAAAATTGTTTACAGACGAAGAATAAATCTTTTCAATTTTGTAACCCATTAATTCATATCTAATTTTGTTTATTTCAACTATAGCAACAAAATAAAAATGTTGTGTAAAATACAAGTTGTACTACACGAGACAACTTGTATAACTAAACCACTACCCCTTTTCTTTAAAAATTCATATTATAGTGAGAGTAATAGACATATTAACAGATAACCAAAATATAATGTATTAAAAGTAAGAGATAAGAATTTTTAAGCATTCAGTGAAGCTCAAAAATATTGTATAAAAGAAGTGGTGTTTAAATCAAGTCCTATGGGGGATCAGGATTGCACTAAGGAAGAGAGGGCAGGCATTTCAGATAGTACTGTAAGAGGGTTTATTTTTTTCATGGAACACTGAAATCTTATAACTGTGATTCAAAGGGTATGTATGGGGAACACTGTCTTTTGAGATTGGAGTGGCAAGTAGGGTGATAATCTTATTTCTGTGTTAGCAGGTGCGAATTCTATTCTGTTGCGTATGAAGAGTTACAAGATGTTTGAGTCAGAAAAGTAGCAAAATAGGTAGATATATTTAGCAAAAATTTAAAAAAATTATTAGAAATATTTACAAGTAGAAGGCCTATTAGGTCCAAAGACAATAGGAAAAAGGAGGTAAAGTTAAGTTTAGGAGATTTTTCAAATAGAAACTTTTTGCAGATTTCTAAAATCTCCTAAATTATCATTCATTTATTAAGCATTTTGTATAGACTAATGGTGTCCAATAGAACTTTCCATGATGATGGTAATGTTCTTTATCTGCATTATCCAATACAGTAGCCATGTGATGGTTATGATTGAAATATTATTAGCATGACAGAGGAACTAAATTTTTAATGCATTTTAATTCTCCCTTGCTCCTATCTCAGAAAGGATACTCACCTTGTAGACAAGTACTTCTATATTCTTGAAAATTGTTGTTTCTAGAAGATAAGGCATGGATCACAAAAATGTGCAAAGGGGACACATTCTGATACAAGAAAGGAAATACCAAAAAGAGTTTAGGGGCATAGATTTTATATTTGGGCATGTTGAATTTGATATGGCTCTGGGATATGCTGATACATTCGCTACATGAAAATATGAACCCGAGTCTCAGTAGTATCTGAACTCATGAATTTGGAAGTCATCAGTATCTTGAAGTCAAGGAACTGTCTAAAATTGTTCTGAAAGATTTGTGGCATAAGATTAAAGGCAAGGACAGAATCCTGAGGGAAAATGACATTTAAGAAAGCATAGGAAAGTATCTGCAAAGGCAATTAAGAAGAAACTATTTAATGGCTAAGCAGAGAACTGGAAGGGAGTGTCAGTCCCATCTGAAGGATAAGAAATTCTTTCAATAAGAAAGCAGATGTCAGGGATGTCACACCCCAAAGGTAGTCAGCCAGGTATTAGGTTTGATAGTAAGGCTATCATCAATGACCTTTGCTCAAATCATATTCAACTTGAAATTAGATGTAGATTTACATCTTGCTCTACTTCTTATTACCTTGGTTTCTTAAACTAGGAAATGACTCTTCCATGACTATTTTTATAAGTAAATGTGAGGCTTCCATGAGAGCATACAGATTTGGGTGTGGTAGATACTCAAGAAGGTCTTGAAAACAGGAGGGACTTAGATTTGTGTTTTTGAACATAATTCAATTATAAGACATTTATACACATAAAAAATTATAAACATCTGGTCATACTACAGTGAGTTTAATGCCACAAAGCAAAAACATGGACATACACGCACACATGCACACATCATAATACAGCCTTTTGAAGCTGGGTAAATTTAACAAACTTAACAGTGATTACACATGGGAAGAAGGTGGTAGTGGTGATAGTGGTTTTTGTGTGTGTGTGTGTTAACAGGTTAGGGTTAGGCTAGTTGCCAAATATTATTGAGAAAAACATTGTATTAGTTTTTGTGGTTGAATTTATTCTTAATATGTGTACCTCATTTTTAAGAATATTTATACTTTGAGGATGGATTTTATTTCTAAATAATGTCAAGATCATTTGGAACCATATCCGGTGAAAAAATTTTTGAATGATTTGAACAATGTAAATTTTAGTGAAGAGGTATGGATGGGGAGAAACATTGTAAACTAAATAAATTGATTTAGAAGGTAATTTCACAAGGCAATAATGATCATTGACAGTCTGAGAATAAGTACTTTAATCTACACCTCTCCAAACACAGCATGTGTGTCATTGTACATGGTAGAGAATTATTTTTTGGTAGGGTCACACTTTCCAGTCAAACTACTTGATACTCTTTTCATATTTAAAATAAGGTACTTAGCCTTAAGTCCTTGTCA